ATATTTTTTTTTTGCTGTATTGTGTGTGTGATAATTTGGTATTATTAATTATTTTAAAACAAATGCAACAAAAATTCATGCCCCATGTATGGAGGACCAACCCTGCAAAAATTACAAAATAATGAATTAATTAATACTAGGAAAATAAAGAAATAAATGACTTGATAAAACCAATATAATTCATTTGTAATCAAATTTAATCCTGAATTTATTTTTATTACCGTTTTCCTTTATGTATTATTTTCTGTACTTATTTTTACATTTATTTTTATTATTTTTGAACTTTTATTTACTTATTCTTTCATTTATTTAGGAAAATAAAGAAATAAATGACTTGATAAAACCAATATAATTCATTTGTAATCAAATTTAATCCTGAATTTATTTTTATTACCGTTTTCCTTTATGTATTATTTTCTGTATTTATTTTTACATTTATTTTTATTCTTTTAGAACTTTTATTTACTTATTCTTTCATTTATTTATTTATTTCTGCATGTTTGGTCCTCCAAACCCATGACCCATTTGTAAATTGCAATACAATAAAGAATTACATAAAAATTTTTTTTTTTTTTTTACTTTCATTCATTCATTCATTCATTTATTCATATATTTATTTATTTATTTATTTATTTCTGCAGGTTTGGGTCCTCTAAACCCACGACCCATTTGTAAATTGCAATATAATAAAGAATTATATTTATTTATTTATTAACTTTCATTCATTCATTCATTCATTTATTCATATATTTATTTATTTATTCATTTATTTCTGCAGGTTTGGTCCTCCAAACCCATGACCCATTTGTAAACTGCAATACAATAAAGAATGATCCTAATATTAGAGCAATTCAAGCATTAAAAACATTCATTCATTCATTCATTTATTTCTGCAGGTTTGGTCCTCCAAACCCATGACCCATTTGTAAATTGCAATACAATAAAGAATTACTTTTTTTTTTTTTTACTTTTATTTATTCATTCATTCATTTCTGCAGGTTTGGTCCTCCAAACCCATGACCCATTTGTAAATTGCAATACAATAAAGAATTATCCTAATATTGGAGCAATTCAAGCATTAAAAACTAATCTTATTTCTGTGAATTCTGCTGCTCTATGAAATGCATCTCACTTGAGAGACTCATTTTGAACTACTTTAACTTAACGAGGCATTTTAAAGCCATGCTGCTAGACGTTTGACAGATCTGCATGACCTCTGTGTGTCTCTCAGATCTCTGCAGGACGTTCATACAGCAGCCGATGCTCAACATGGTCCGAACGGCACTGAAAGGTAAAACACAATCAGACAGACTTACAGAGAGTTCACCCAAAAATGACACTTCACTCATCGTGTACTCACCCAAACATTGTGACCAGAAATGCTCTACATGAGAGTCACCTACTGAATTTGTTTATTGTTCATTCATTTCTCTTTTGCAGATCACAAGGACAGTAAGAAGGACAAAGCGGGCCGGAGCATGTCTCTCACAGGTCCTGGACCGGTCAAAGGTACTGACTTTGAACTGTAAGCACTGAATGTGATGGTAATGAGTCTGTGAAGCGCCTCATGTGTGTTTCTCCGCTGCAGTGACCGAGTCGTTCTCATGGGACGAGTATTTAAAAGAGTCGTCGTCCGTTCCCGCTCCTCCCAGCTGCTTCAGACAGGTGAGACCGGCAGTCAAATCCCGTCAGGACTCGTCTCTGTGAGGAATGATGGGATGGCCATGTTTTTAACTTTTCATGTGTTCTGTGAATAAAAATCACATTAACCCTTTAAAGCCTACTGTATCATATTTGATTACATTTCTAAGGCTCTAAATGACCATCATGATCAAACTCTGCTGTCGCACACAATCTCCTGCATGCCTTCTGTCTCTGATTGAGAGTTTTTATCCAGTCAAAGCTCTATTAGTGTAACTGTTGCTGGAGCTTCACGTGTCTTTCTGCTGTCAAATATTGACTGATTTTTATCAAGTAAGCGTCAGAATAACTGCAGTAATATCTCCAGATGAACTCTTACTGGACTGAAGCAGCTCAGCTTTACTTGATTCTCCATCAATCATGTTTTAGAGTCTCAAATCTGATCATCAGGATCTTTTGAGGAGCGTTTGTTTCCAGAAGCTTTACTTTCACTGTTCCTCAGCGGAGGAATGATCTTCACAAGCCTCCAGAACATCTCACATCTTCTGAGGAGCCTTTATTTCTTCAGCTCTCAATCAGCACTGGATTGCATTGCATTATATGTTTGGATCATTTCAATCTCTTCTTACTAAGACAGATTATTGGAGATATAGAGCGACGACTGATATTTATATCATTTTATGTCAGTATCTGCTGCACTGTTATAAAGATCTCTTTGATTTACATTACAAGCATCAGAATTTCATCACTTTTTGATCATGTAAATATCAGCAATGCACCAAATTGCATATTTTTGCTCAATTTGAGTGTCTGAATAAAATCAAGCTGGTTTTCCTCCATATTCTCACTAAATCAGACATATAGTCTGATAAAAGCCTGATGCATCTGTTACGTCTCCCTAATTACTTGGCGTCAACAAAAAACACATATGCAAACGTATTTTTTTTAATATGCATCAACAAAAAACACATATGCAAACTTTTTTTTTTTAATATGCATCTCAACAAAAAATACATATGCAAACTTTTTTTTTAATATGCATCTCAACAAAAAACACATGCAAACTTTTTTTTTTTAATATGCATCTCAACAAAAAACACATATGCAAACTTCTTTTTTTTATATGCATCTCAAAAAACACATATGCAGACTTATTTTTTTTAATATGCATCTCAACAAAAAACATGCAAACTAACTTTTCTTTAATATGCATCTCAACAAAAAACATATGCAAACTAATTTTTCTTTAATATGCATCTCAACAAAAAATACATATGCAAACTTTTTTTTTTAAATATGCATCTCAACAAAAAACACATGCAAACTTATTTTTTTTATATGCATCTCAATAAAAAACACATATGCAAACTTATTTTTTTAAATATGCATCTCAACAAAAAACATATGCAAATTTATTTTTCTTTAATATGCATCTCAACAAAAAACATATGCAAATTTATTTTTCTTTAATATGCATCTCAACAAAAACACATATGCAAACTTATTTTTGTTTTATATATTTTGTCTAAGGGATCAATAAACTGTTCCCTTTCAAGATTTTTCAGGCTTTAATTTAAATGCAAACCTGATTCGTAGCTCAGTTTTTGGATGTTGACACTGAGTATTTGTTCTCCAGTCTCGGATTCCTCCCTCCAACGACTTCAAGGTGGGTATGAAGCTGGAGGCCCGGGACCCTCGTAACTCCACCTCCACCTGCATCGCCACGGTGATGGGCTTGATGGGCGTGAGACTCCGCCTCCGTCTGGACGGCAGTGACAGCACCAACGACTTCTGGCGATTGGTCGACTCCGCCGACATCCAGCCAATCGGAACCTGCGAGAAGAAGGGAGACATGCTGCAGCCGCCGCTGGGTACGAGTGATGTCACTTCCTCTCCACAGCTGAACCGAGCCGCAGGCGTCTGAAAGAACGAGTTCATGTTTAATAGGAGTCGTACAAACAAGCGGTCAATATAGCGACTGATTTCCATGAGAGGGACTGTGCATCTCACGTCACGTCCAAAGCTTAATAATTCAGTGTTCATTACGACACTATCATAGTGTTTTACTATGTTTTATTTTTACATTTTCTGCTTTCAATTTAATTTTAGATAAAGTTTTTGTAATTTTGTTGTGTGTTTTAGTCATTTCTATCTTTTTTTAAAGTATGTTTATTTAGTTTTTATTAATATTTATTTCAGTTTTAGTTTAGTACTTCAGGTTAAACTAAAGTTAAACGATAAAGAGAAATTTTGCCTTTGCAACCAACTGGAATAAAACAAATATATTTTATTTCAATGAATGTAAATTATATCCTCTTCACTAATGTTGCCTGTCTTCAGCTTCCTGATTTTATTAGTATTTATTTATATTTTATTACTTATTTAGTATTATTAATATTTCTATTATTTTTTATTCATTCATGTTCATTTTAATTTTAGTTAGTTTTTGCCATTTTGTTGCGTTTTAGTCATTTCTGTCAGTTTTTTAAATGTTTAGCTTTTATTAAGTTTAGTTTTAGTGATTTTAGTACTTCATCTTAAACTAAACAAAAATGAGAGAATTTACCTTTTTTATTTCCCCATTTTCCATTTTCATTTTAGTTTGCATATTTAGTTAGTTTTTGCAAGTTTGTTGTGTGTTTTAATGGCTTCTGTTAGTTTTTTAAATGTCTTTTTTAGTTTTCATTCATTTTTAAGTTATTTATTTAAGATTTTAGCACTTCATCTTAAACCAAACAAACATTAGAAACTTCGCAGCTAACTTGAAATAATTTGTTTTTATATTATATTTTGTTTATTTCAAGTAACTAAAATGTTTTTCAGTATTTAGTTTTAGTTAACGATAGCAGCACTGGTCTGACAAAGAAAATTACATCCTAATGTCGCCTGCCTTCCCGTTTTAATTAGTACTTATAAATTTTTATTATATTTTATGACTTCCTTTGAGTTTATTAATATTTTACAAAATTTATCATGTTTTTTTTTTTGTTTTTTTTTAATATGCCTGTTTATATTTTTATTCATTTTAATTTCTGTTTTAGTTGTAGTAATATTAGTACTTCAACTTAAACTAAATGAAAATGAGAAATTTTGGGTTTGTGACAAAAAAAAACAAAAAAACATTTTTATAATATTCCATTTGATTTTTACACATTTTAATTACCGTATTTTTAATTTTTTTTTAGTTTTACAGTTAGATAACTATAACAACATTGGTCTGCTGCAGGAAATGACATCGTCTTCTCTAATGTTGCCTGCCTTCAGCTTCCTGTTTTGCTGGCTCCCCGTCTTCTGCTTTGGCTGTTGATGGAGATGAATGTGAACACATGTGAGCAGAATTATGGATGATAATTGTGTTTCTCTCCCTCATTTTCTCAGGATTCAGGATGAACGCCTCGTCGTGGCCCATGTTTCTCCTGAGAACCCTTAATGGAGCCGAAATAGCACCTGCCACGGCATTTAAAAAGGTGCTGAACCTCCACAGAGAGAGAGCATGCATTTACACGGATGACAGTGTTACTTAACGCAATCACATTAAAAGGTTTTGGTGACACTGACGCTCTGTAATTCCATCAGGAGCCGCTGCGGCCGCCCCAGAACGACTTCAAGCCCGGCACGAAGCTGGAGGCCGTGGACAAGAAGAACCCGTACCTGATCTGTCCGGCCACCATCGGCGAGGTGAAGGGGGAAGAGGTGTTCGTGATGTTTGACGGCTGGAGGGGGGCGTTCGATTACTGGTGCCGCTATGACTCCAGGGACATCTTCCCCGTGGGCTGGTGCTCCGTCACCAAACACAGCCTGCAGCCGCCGGGAAACAGCAGTGAGTGACCGCTGCACACATCGCTGAAGGCTGGAGTTTAGTTTAGTGGCCTGGAAAGGTTGTAGGTTCGAATCCCACACAATGGCTGATGCTTGAGCTACGATCGAGACAAGAAGCAGGGCTATTAGATTTAACTAAAAAATAAAACCATAAAAAAAAGAAAAAATGTTACTTGAAATAAAATAAAATAAAGAAATAAAATAAAATTAATTGAAAATGAAAATAAACATTAAATATTAAAATATAAAAATATTTAATAAATCATTAAATAACATTTAACATTAAATGAAATAGAAAAACCTAAACTTGATGTACTAAAATAACTAAAGCCAAAACTGAAAAAAAATTAATAAAAGCTATATAGTAAAAATAATAAAATGTGACAAAAACACACAGCAATTACTAAAACTTTAACTAAAATTAAAATAAAAAATAAAAAAATTTAAAAAAAGAATATATATATATATATTATATATATATATATATAAACTAATTCAAAAAAATTAATAAAAGTAAAATAGTAAAATAGCACTGGACTGAACCTGTGAAAAAGTCAATTTGGATAAAGCTTAATGGATTTTAATTTTGGATAAGTAAACTTATTTTATTTCAGCTAGTTGTCAAGGCAACATTTCTTATTTTCATTTAGTTTAACTTAATGTACCAAAATAACTCAGACTAAAACTGAAATAAAAATATTTAAAAAAACTATGTAGAATAAAAAATAAACTAATAAAAATAACTAAATTACTAGAATGTTAACTAAAACTAAAATGAAAACAGAAAATATAAAAATAAAAACGAGTTCGAAATATAAGTACTATAATACGGCAAAAATGGCAAATCACTGGTTGTAAAAACAGTGTTGTTCCTCAAGACAAATGCAGTTTTATTTATTAAAAAAGTTACTTAGGGCATCTAAAACTAAATGCCTTGACAGCTAACTGCAATAAAATAAGTTTAAGCTGAAATACTAAAATTGCTAAAACTAGAACTGAAATAAAAATAAATGAAATAGAAATATAAAAAAAACTTTAAAAAATGACAAAAGCACATTAAAAAAATTATTAAAACTTACAAAAATGAAAAGGAAAACAGATAATCTCTCTCTCTCTCTGTCTATATATATATATATATATATATATATCTATATAAAGCTAACTCAAAATATTATAAGTACTATGATATCATTTAATAATACTAAAATAACCCTGGTTCCTGTGCTCTTCTCGGTCCTATAACATAAAGACATGTAAACAGCTTGTGTGAGCAGCAGGGGGCGCTACAGCTCTCTGAAACTCCACAGTCCACTAACAAACACCCTCAGGAATCACATGACCGCTGCAGAAGGAAGATCTTCTGAGACAAAGCAGTCTGAATCAAGGCTGTCTGTTTCTCTGAGCTATTTTTAAAGTGTCTCTTTTGCAGGTTCAGCATTTAAAACTTTGGTCTGCTCTTATGTCTGCTTCCATCTGGCCTAAACTCAAACCTCATCTGGGTTGAAATAAAATACAAATATATTGATTGAAACAAAAAAAGAATGATTATTTCATAAGAAATAAAAGAAGAATCAGTTAATGTGTTAGCTTCAGTGTTATTGTAATATTATGTATTTAAAGTTATAATATTGATTAAGATTTTGAGTTAGTTTTGTTTTTATATTTTCAGTTTTTATTTTTATTTTAAGTTTTAGAATAGTTTTTTGTCATTTGTATTAGTTTTTTATATTTCTATTTCAGTTTTAGTAATTTTAGTACTTTAACTTAAACCTTTTATTTCTGAACATTCAGTCAGCTTCAGTGTCATTTAAGTATTATTTGTTTATTATTATAGTATTTATTAGGATTTTAAATTAGCTTTTATTTTAATATTTTCAGTTTTTATTTTTAGTTTACATTTTAGTAATTTTTTTTATGCACTATGTGTATTTTTTTTATATTTCTATTTCAGTTTTAACTTCAACCTAAACATATTGTATTTCAGTTAGTGGTCAAAGGCAACATTTCTAATTTTCATTTAAGTTTAAGCTTTGTATTTATATTTATATTTTATTTAAACTTTATTTGACTAACAAAAGTGTTTTTAAATAGTTTTAGTAAACAATAACAAAACAGTTCAGCTTAACTGTCAATCATTCATGTTGTCATGACAACCCACACAGTGACCCCGCCTTCACTGTTGTGAACAATCTCACACTGAATTCTGATGATTTAATTAGGACTAACTAGGAATGATTAATTGTCATAATTGCAGCTGCTGTTTGCACTATTGAGTAAAGCTCTCACAGCGAGACTGATGCATTTGACTGGGTTTTTAGGCTTGCAATCTGTATTTAATCTTTCAAATTTCACATGTGGACCCTCCAAAAATATAGGTTATGATGGGGATAGCATGTTAGCAATCTAGGTAGTATGTACACTCAGTATATTGTGTGCAATATATAGTGTCATTTTTGCTAGTGAAGGTGAACATTTCGCTCTCATATTAACAAGAATGGATTGCGAAAGTAATTACAGTCTTTAGAAAACGCTTTCTTTAACCGAACAGAATCCAGCAAATGTTTAGTAAAATAAAACACACACTGAAGTCATAAATTAGCTGGGATTTAATCCAGATCTGGTGTTTTGAGTGGAGTCAGTCTGAGCTATAGATGATGATATACGCATTTCCATTAATGTTCATTCGGCCGCAGCTGGAATTCATTTTGAGTTTGTGGAAAATTTTCCCCAAATTATACAAACCTCCGGATCTCGTGTTGCAGTGTTTGTAATTCCGCTCCGCATGTTGTGTTGCGAATTACAGACATTTGTTTAAAGGATTTGTTTTGGATCTGGATGATGTGGAATGACCTGTGCTGTTTGTTTTTTTGTAGCCCATCCAAGTAATTATGTGTAAATGAGATAATTAGCGAGCGAGCCGCGCGGGTCAGGAGGGATTCGAGAGTTTGTGTGAAAATAAACAAATCGCACACTTAGACACACATCTGTGAGAAAAGACGAAGAATAACCAGAGAAACTAAACAGACGGAGAGGAAAGTGGTGAGAGTGTTTACAGTAAAGACCAACTAGAGAAAAGCGTTTAACTGAAACACACACACATCACACAGACCCACACTTAACACACTTAAACTAGATCGTCCATTAAAGGGTTAGTTCACCCAAAAATGAAAATTAGGTCATAACACCTAGGATGCCTTGAGGGTGAGTAATTTATGGCCTAATTTTCATTTTTGGGTGAACTTACCCTTTAAATTAGAAGTCTCTTTAGTTAGAAGTCTAATTAGAAATTAGAAGGCTGCATAAAATGTCTTAAGCATGGTTTATTTTCTGTGTTTCTGTGACGGTCAGGTGGGACATATCGAAGTGCCTAATTTATTAAAAAAATAATAATACTGTCAATCATCAAGTATGCATTAAATGTATCAAAAGTGACAGTAAAACTTTAAAAGACTTTAAAAGACAGTAAAAACATTTATAATGTTACAAAAGATTTCTGTTTCAAATAAATGCTGTTCTTTTAAACTTTCTATTCATCTGTGAATCCTGAGCGCCAACAGTTGTACACGGAAGCAGCTCCGGGCGGATGACGTATGAGTTCAGCACTGCGCATGCGCCGCTCAGAAGTGACGCACGCAGAAGCGCAGCGGAGGGATCAAAACAAAACAACGGTTACGAATTAGAAGTACAAATTTAATTTATTAAAAAAATAATAATACTGTCAATCATCAAGTATGCATTAAATGTATCAAAAGTGACAGTAAAACTTTAAAAGACTTTAAAAGACAGTAAAAACATTTATAATGTTACAAAAGATTTCTGTTTCAAATAAATGCTGTTCTTTTAAACTTTCTATTCATCTGTGAATCCTGAAAAATAAAATGCATCACAGTTTCCTCTAAAATATTGGGCAGCACAACTGTTTTCAACATTGATGATAATGAAATATTTCTAGGGTAGTGGGTCATGTTAAAACTCAAGCCTGTCTGCGTGATCGCTGCCATATGCTTGAGTACAAGTGTGTCAGATCTCTGGCAAACTCTTTTTCCTCCCGTACTCCCTCTAATTTAGTTATACTGGAGTTATTTAGGGTAAACATGCACTCATATCCACAACCACACACTGACACACTCACTGTGTGTTAAAGGACAGGATGTGTTCAGATGGAAGTGTGTGTGTGTGTGTGTGTTTGGTCAGGCACTTTTCACAGATACGCTACAAAATAGGGCTCCTGTTTATTTAACAAACGGAGGCCATACTAAATATTATATGAGCTGTTCTGAATATGTTATATTCATTCTAAATGCAGGCATTTTATTTGCAGTTTTTGTAATACTTGTTACTAAAATTGGTGACATCAGCCCTGTTTTCTAGCAATAAATAGCAAAGAAACATCCAATAACAGCCTCTTTGTATGCATCACATTGTGACAGATTCATGAAATAATCAGAGGCATGATAATGAGATTATACTGCCACAGTTATCTACCACAATAATCAGTCTATATAGCCATAAGTAGACTATATAACTTTAGTAATCAGTAAAACCACAATCATCAGACCAAAAGACCCAATAATCAGACAATATAGCCTAACCACTATGACTACATAACCAAAATATTGACATAACCACAACAATCAGACAACATAGCCACAATGACCAGATTATATTACCAGTTATCTGACTAAATAACCACAATAATCAGACTGTATAACATAATACGTAGATTTTATACAGTAACTGTAGTATTCAGACTATGTAACCACAATTATCAGACCATACGACCACAATAATCAGACTATATAACCATAACAAGTAGACTATATATAGTAACTACAGTAATCAGACTATATAATCACAATAATTAGACTATATAACCATAATAAATAGACTATATATAGTAACTGCAGTAATCAGAGTATGTAACCACAATAATCAAACTATATAACTACTATAATCAGACTACATAACCACAATAATCAGACTATATAACCACAATAATCAGACCATATATAGTAACTAGTAATCAGATTATGTAACCACAGTAATCAAACTATATAACTACTATGATCAAACTACATAACCACAATAATCAGATTATATAACCATGAGTATATATAGTTACTTCAGTAATCAGACTATGTAACCACAATAATCAGACTATATAATCATAACAAGTAGACTATATATGGTAACTGCAGTAATCAGATTATGTAACCACAATAAGCAAACTATATAACTATTATCATCAGACTACATAACCACAATAATCAGACCATATACACTAACTGCAGTAATCAGATTATGTAACCACAGTAATCAAACTATATAACTACTATGATCAGACTACATAACCACAATAATCAGACCATATATAGTAACTGCAGTAATCAGATTATGTAACCACAAATCAAATTATATAACTACTATGATCAGACTACATAACCAAAATAATCAGACTATATAACCATAAGTAGACTATATAAATTTACTCCAATAATCAGACTATATAACAACAATAATCAAGACTATATAATCATAATAAGTAGACTATATATAGTAACTGCAGTAATCTGATTATGTAACCATAATATTCAATCTATATAACTACTATGATCAGACTACATAACCACAATAGTCAGACTATATAACTACAATAATCAGACTATATAATCATAATAAGTAGACTATATATTGTAACACAGTAGTCAGATTATGTAACCACAATAATCAAACTATATAACAGCTATTATCAGACTACATAAGCATTCATTTTTTATTATTATTTAAATTTTCCTTTATTTTTTCCATTTTGCAGTCACTGTTCCAAAACCGGGTCCTACACCTTCCTCCTCCTCATCCTCTTCCTCTAACCCTAAACCGCCCCGGCGCTCCATGCCGATTCCTTACCGCCTGCCGACTCCTCTTCCTCAACTCCCCGTGAGGAAGGGCATCAGGGGACGGCGGCCGAAAAGCGAGACCATCGCGCTGCTGAAAGCCCTGGCCGCTTCCACCGCGGCCCAAGACACAGAAGATCAAGAAGAAATCGCACCCCAAACCACGCCCATTTCCCAGCATCCCCTGCGTCCATACAAGAAGAGGGGACCGAAACCAGGCAGCAAGGTAGCATTAAAGGAATTTTGTGTGTATTTATGAACGACTGTCACATTAGACAAAATTTATGGAGGGTGTCATTTGGTGAAATACTTAAGCAGATTGTGTTTTTGTTTCTCAGAGGAAGCCCAGACTCCTCCAGAGTGCCATGTCTATAGCAGCCAGCTCAGACTCCAGGGTGCCCATGACTCAGATGCCCAGCGATGGACTCCCTCCTCTGGGATCCCCCTCATCTGTGGTGTCTACTGGTAATAAAATGAGCTTGTTTACAAATATAACTGCTAGTATGCCACAAAAGAGAGAAAAATCTGACTTCTTGATCACTATATGACTACATGACAACAAATTTTAGACTATATAACCACAATAATCAGACTACATAGCCACAATGATCAGGTTATTTTACCAGAGGTATCTAACAATAATCAATCTATGTAACCATAAGGAGACTATAAAAGTTAAGTAATCAGACCACAAAACCACAATTATCAGACCATACGACCTAATAAACAGACTACATACCCAAAATGAGACAATATAACTAAACAGACTACATAACCACAATAATCAGAACACATAGCCACGATAACCACAGTTATCAACCACAATAGTTTAACTTTATTGTCCCAGAGCGGAAATTTGTCTTTGACACTGGTGACGTGAATACATTCACATTAATACTTAAAAACACATCACACATTAACAACACAAACATAGAATTTAAACAAATTTATACAATTAACACTACCCCCATCATTCCTTACACATTCCAAAATCATCTGCAGTAATATACAAAAAATTTAATAATAATTAGATTATATAACCATACATGGAATAGATAACTTCAGTAATCAAATTACATAACCACAATGAACAGACAACATAACCACATGATCAGATTATATTATCTGACTAAATAACCACAATAATCAGACTATATATAATTCAGACCATGACAATAATAATCAGTCTATATAACCACATTTATCAGACTATATAATCATAAGTAGGCTATATACAGTAACTGCAGTAATCAGATTGTGTAACCACAATTATCAGACCACAATAATCAGAGTTATATAACCACTAAGAATGGAATACATAAGCACAATAATCAGACATTATAACTACAGTAACCAGACTACATAACCACAATTATCAGACTGTAAAACCATAAGTAGACTATATACAGTAACTGCTGTAATCAGACTATGTAACCAGTTATCAGACCGTATGACCATAATAATCAGACTATATAACCACAATTATTAGACTGTATAACCTTAATAAGTAGACTATATACAGTAACTGCAGTAATTAGACTTTGTAACCACAATTATCAGACCGTATAACCATAATAATCAGGCTATATAACCGCTATGAACAGAATACATAAGCACAATAATCAGACATTATAATCACAAGTATCAGACTGTATAACCATAAGTAGACTATATACAGTAACCGCAGTAATCAGAATATGTAACCACAATTATCAGACCGTATTACCATAATAATCAGACTATATAACTATTTTGATCAGACTATGTAACCACAATAATCAGACATAACTACCGTAATCAGACTATCGCTATGAACAGAATACATAAGCACAATAATCAGACATTATAATCACAAGTATCAGACTGTATAACCATAAGTAGACTATATACAGTAACCGCAGTAATCAGAATATGTAACCACAATTATCAGACCGCATTACCATAATAATCAGACTATATAACTATTTTTATCAGACTATGTAACCACAATAATCAGACATAACTACCGTAATTAGACTATATAACCACAATTATCAGACTGTATAACCATAATAAGTGGACAATATACAGTAACTGCAGTAACCAGAATATGTAACCACAATTATCAGACCGTATGACCATAATAATCAGACTATATAACTGCTATGAACAGAATACATAAGCACAATAATCAGACATTATAATCACAAGTATCAGACTGTATAACCATAAGTAGACTATATACAGTAACCGCAGTAATCAGAATATGTAACCACAATTATCAGACCGCATTACCATAATAATCAGACTATATAACTATTTTTATCAGACTATGTAACCACAATAATCAGACATAACTACCGTAATTAGACTATATAACCACAATTATCAGACTGTATAACCATAATAAGCGGACAATATACAGTAACTGCAGTAATCAGAATATGTAACCACAATTATCAGACCGTATAACCATTATAATGACTTTATAAGTACTTTGATCAGACTATGTAACCACAATAATCAGACATAACTACTGTAATCAGACTATATAACCACAATTATCAGACTGTATAACCATAATAAGTGGACAATATACAGTAACTGCAGTAATCAGAATATGTAACCACAATTATCAGACCATATGATCGTAATAATCAGACTATATAACCACTATAAGACTAGATCACCTCAATAATCTGTTCGGATCTGTTTTAATGCAGTAAGTCATAGTGCTTCTGTACAGTAGTGTTTAAACATGCCTGTCCTGTCCGTTTCCATCAGTGTGCGTATACGTGAACAAACACGGGAACTGCGGCCCACATCTGGACCGTAAGCAGGTTCAGAGACTGCCGGATCACTTCGGGCCGGAGGCGGTGAATCTGGTTCTGCAGCAGACGGTCCAGGCCTGCCTGGACTGCGCGTACCAGCCCAAAGTGCTTCTGGGATGCCTGCAGAGCCAAGGCGGCGGAGGAGAGGTGGTCAGAGGTACGGACAAAAGTTTAACAACAAAACTGATTAAATATGATTTTAGAACACTCGCAATGATGAAGTATTGTGGTTTGTCTCTCTAGTCCGAACAGATGGCGGGAAGCGGTTGGTGAAGCTGCCGTCAGCGTCGAGCGCCGGGTTCGTGTTGCGCTTCCTGGAGCGAGTGTGTCGACACCTGCAGTGTGATAATCTGTTCAGCAGTCAACCGTTCAGTCCACACAACACCTACGACCGCGCTAAATCAGGTACATTTATGGACTCAGACTGGCCACAAGAGTGTCTGGTATTCTGATGGTGTGATGCGTCACTTGAAATTCATTTAGAAATGTTTATGTTTATGTTAAAGGAATAATTTACCAAAAAAAATTATTTCTTAATTTACTCACCCTTTGGTTGCTTCAAATCAGTTGGAAAAAAAAAAAACAGTGTTGTTAGATCAAATGTTAACTAATGTACTGTTGACTAAAGCTATTAAAAATCATTTTTGTTAATTGAAATAAAGATTAAATAAAATATAAATATAAGATGAAAAAATAAATATTAGAAATTAAATATAAAAAATAAAAATGCATATAAAAAATAAAATGAAAACTGAAAATATAAAAATAAAAGCCATTTCGAAATATTTATAAAATAAAATTAATAAATAAAACAAAACTAAATTAATAAATTAAAATGAACTACAATTAAAATGAAAACTGAAAATATAACAATAAAAGCTTATTCAAAACATTCATAAATACTGTAACAGTATATAAATAATACAAAAAAACTAATGAAAATGAAAAAAAGCAAATAACAAAATTACTAAAACTTAACTACAATTAAACTGAAAAAATGAAAATAAAAGCTAATTCAAAATATTAATACATACTATAATAGTATATAGTGCTAAAAACTAATAAAAATGACAAAAACAACAAAATGACTAAAACGCAAAATAAAATCAAAATGAAAACTGAAAATAAAATAAAAGCTAATTCAAAGTATTAATATTATAGTAGTATAAGAGGAATACTAAAAACAAAAGAGACAAAAACACATAAAAAAATTATCAAAATGTAAACTAAAATTAAAATGAAATCTGATAAGATAAAAATAAAAGCCAATTCAAAATATTAATAAATGCTATAAGAGTATATATTGTAAATAAAGCTAAAATCTAATAAAAATCACTAAAACTAAAATGAAAATAGAAAATATAAAAAATCCTTATTCAAAATATTAATACTATACTATTATATTAAACTAGAATGTAAATAATACTAAAATAACAATGGTAACAATCTTCTAAATTCTTTTGTGTTCCACAGCAGTCAGTCATACAGATTTGGAACAATAGATTTGGAGTAAATTAATGTTGATGATATTTTTGTGTGTGTTTTGTGTAGTTAAAGAGGAGATGTTGTCAGACGGTCCGTCTCTGAACAGAGGCGTGAAGCGGATCTCCAGAGACCCTCCGCCGTACTGCGCTCCTCTCTCCCCGAAACTCCTGCACACAGACACACACCCCTCAGAAGGTGCCGCAGCGAGGCTTTCAGAGCGTTACCTTTCAAGATGAATTACATGCTATATTTATTAAACTCATTTAACTAATGAGACTATAAGCGGTTTTGTTCAGTGGGATTTCTAAAGCAATATGAAAAGTATTTCTATTGAATTGTGAAGAGGAATATATATGTGTGTGTGTGTGTGTGTGTGTGTGTGTGTAGCGGAGACTCTTCCTCCAGAGGAGAATGGATTACTGAAGGAGCAGCGCTTCATGGACTCCGCCTCCAATTCCATGACGCCCCGCCCACAGACCTTGAGAAGCACCTCAGAGTACCAATCACCGCCCAGCAACCTGTATTACCATGGCAACGGGCCGCCTCTACGGCGACGGGCCTCACACCCCCCCACACAGACACACAGACGAGTGGAGGGTGAGTCTCATGCAGACCAGAGTTTTTATGGTGTGTTCACACCAGAGATAGAACGCGTCATGCGAATTTTCCGCTCGAGTTGAAATTTTTGAACTTGCGCGGAAGACGAGATTGAGGCGAATATCGTGCGTTCGCGGCAAACGTGTCGCGCATTTCACGTCGCCCGGCGCGAATTCGCCTCTATTCGCGTCTTTGCGTTGACTTTGTATGTAATCTACTCGCCAAATAATTACATTCGCGTCTGGTGTGAACACACTGTTATTCATGATTTGAATGTTTTATTTTTATATTTTCTGTTTCCATTTTAATTTCAGTTAAAGTTTTAGTGGTTGTTGTTTTTTTGTAATTTTTTTTATGTCTATATATTTTTATAAATTTAATTTTAATTTAGTAAATTAACAATGAAAGTGAGAAATAAAGTTGAAATAAAATATTTCAAGTAACAAAAAAAGGTTTTTATGGGTTTAGTTTTAGTTTCAGTTAACTATAATAACCCCGTTGTATATCCTTTATAATTACAAATCAGCTGTCATTAGAATTCGTTTTTTAATTATTATTATTATTAGTTTAAACGTTGTGAATCTTTCGCTTTTTTATTGTAAATAAAAATAAATTACTTAAATAATATTTTAGTTATTTATAAAAACTAATTATTAAACAATGAAATAATTAAAAATACAAAAAAAAGATTAAATATGTCATTTGTTTAACTGCATACCATACAACTATTAATTGTCATCAGAAAACCACGAACATGTGTAAAATTATTGAAATATTGACTTAAAATATTGAAGTATTAGAAGTATTTAGTATCCATTTATGTGCATGCTAATGTTTTATGTTTTTGTCTTAAATACCAGGTAAATACTGCTCAGATTTTTTTCGTTTAAATAATCTGAAAGGTATTGAATGCATTTAATATTATACATATATTAAAATTAATTGAAAAGTATCAACTTTATTCACTATAAAATAATTTTTACATTTTCAAAAGAAAAAAAAAAAATTATTGCATGACATTTCAAATGTCTATTTTTTGTAAATAATAAATCATTTTAAATAATTTCATTTGTAAAGCATTTCAATCACCGGATCATACAAAATAGACATTAACACGTGGTTATTTAATCTATAAACCATATTAGTGTCGACATTTTCACAAAAGTAACTATATTAAATTATATACTGTTACAATAACATAAGTAGTACATCAAACTCAATTTCAGAAGAACAAATCCTGTTTTTCATGGTACGACCGCTTTAAGACCTTCACATCTCAGTAAAGCTCACGTAGAAGTCTCAGAAAAACCTGACAGGAGACAGAAAACATCAAAGACTGACAGACAGAATGAAGAAATCACATCAGCGTAATCATGTTAGCTGCAGATCAAGTGCATCTCTCTCTCTCTCTCTCTCTCTCTCCAGCTGCCAGCTCTACCACGGGCCCCGAGACGGCGGCGGACCGCGAGCTTCCCAGAAGCCCCGGCAGGAGTCCGTCTTCCTGGTCCATAGAGGAAGTGATGCGGTTTGTGCGGGACGCAGACCCGACGGCACTGGCTCCGCACGCAGAGCTCTTCAGAAAACACGTCAGTGATTTACCGCGTGACCTTCACGCGTTCTCTGTGCTTTTATATCTGCCTGTAAATCAAGCGCGGCACGAGGGAGGACGGGAGGGAGAGCGGGAACATGTATCATCTGTGTTTAGACTTGACCGGCGAGATTCACGTTCATCTGCACACACACACACACACATACACACACACACACACACACACACAGACACAGCCCGTCTGGACAGACTCACAGGAGTAACTCACCCAACAGCGTTACTATATTAACTCTGCTCTTCAGTGCTAGTGTTAAAATAGTGTGCTGCTTTTATCATGCAGAAACTCACATCTCTGTCATTCCTCTAGCTCAAACAGTTCAGCATTGTGCTAGCAACACCTAGGTCATGGGTTCAATTCCAAGCAAATGCATGAATTAATTAATAAAAAAATACCTTAAATGCAATGCAAGTCACGTTTGCCAAATGCATAAGCGTAAACACACTGACTCGTTGAAGCCACTTTTTTATTTATTTATTTTAAGTAAAATCTCGTTCAAAACTGTTTTTTCTCAAAAATCGTTATAAATATTCTTTATTAATAAAACTAATATCAATAAATGATTAATATTGCTTTTGAATATTCATTAAATAGTGTTTAAAATAAATACATTTTCATATTTCTGCTGCATTTCCTAATGCTTTTGTCATAAGTAGCAGGTAAATACTGCTCTTATTTTTAGATGTTTAAATTATATAATCTGGATGGTACTGAATACATTTACATGTATTTAAATAAATGTATAATAATAAAAGTAAACACTTTATTTACTGTGAAATAATAAATACACATTTTAAATTAAAAACATTTATTTACTTAAAATGTATTTGCAGCTGACCAATTTTTTAAGAAGATAACGACTTACAGTGGGTACGGAAAGTATTCAGACCCCCTTAAATTCTGTGACTGTTCTTGAATGGCCCAGCCAGAGCCCTGACTTAAACCCAATTGAGCATCTCTGGAGAGACCTAAAAATGGCTGTCCACCAACGTTTACCATCCAACCTGACAGAACTGGAGTGGATCTGCAAGAGGGAATGGCAGAGGATCCCCAAATCCATGTGTGAAAAACTTGTTGCATCTTTCCCAAAGACTCATGGCTGTATTAGATCAAATGGGTGCTTCTACTAAATACTGAGCATTTTTCAGTTTTTCTTTTTTAATAAATTTGCAAAAATGTCAACAATTCTGTGTTTTTCTGTCAATATGGGGTGCTGTGTGTACATTAATGAGGAAAAAAAATTAACTTAAATGATTTTAGCAAATGGCTGCAATATAACAAAGAGTGAAAAATTTAAGGGGGTCTGAATACTTTCCGTACCCACTGTATTTAGCCGTTTAAATTATGAATAGCTTGTCACTATGTTTATGATTTGGTGTTACTAGAGATATTTAGTATAGATTTATGTGCATGCTGACTGAGATCCTTGACATAAATACCAGGTAAATACTGCTCAGATTTTTTAGTTGTTGAAATTATGTAATTTGGAAGGTATTGAATACATTTAAATGTATTTAAATAAACTGTATAATATAAAAATGATACAATTTATTTAGCATAATATTATATAGTTTTTAAAATATTTAATTACTTACAATATATATTTAATATTTATTTGATAATTTTATTTACCATAATAAAAGCAGTAAACACAATAATTAAATTTAAAAAATATTTATTTAAATATATATTTACAGCTGACTGTTTTTTTCAAAGGTTAAAGGGATAGTTCACCCAAAAATGAAAATTACCTCATGATTTACTCACCCTCAATCCATCCTAGGTGTATATGACACTCTTCTTTCAGATGAATACAATTAAGAGTAATATTAAAAAATGTCCTGACTCTTCCAAGCTTTATAATGGCAGTGAATGGGTGTTGAGATTTTGAAGTCCAGTAAAGTGCATAAATCCATCATAAAAGTGCTCCACACGGCTCCGGGGGGTTAATAAAGGCCTTCTGAAGTGAAATGATGCGTTTGTGTAAGAAAAATATCCATATTTACACCTTTATAAACCTTAATCTCCAGCTTCTGCTAACTGTCGTACACACGTTCACGAGAGAGCGGCGTCCAGCGGATGACTTAGGCGTAAGAACACGAGTTTCACCACAGTTAAATACAACCGGACAGGAACCTCTCCTCCACCGACTGTACCGATACCGATGAATATTTTTCTTACACAAACGCATCACTTCAGAAGGCCTTTATTAACCCCGCGGAGCCATGTGGAGTACTTTTTATGATGGGTTTTTGCACTTTATTTTGATTCAAAATCTCAACACCCATTCACTGCCATTATAAAGCTTGGAAGAGCCTGGACATTTTTTTATATAACTCCAATTGTATTCGTCTGAATGAAGTCAGTCATACACACCTAGGATGGCTTGAGGGCGAGTAAATCATGGGGTAATTTTCATTTATGGGTGAACTATCCCTTTAACTTGACTGCTTTTTGCAGTTTAAATTATGAGTAGCTTGTACATCTCAGTTTTTTTTTCCCCCCATACAATAAATGGGGTCCAATGTGGTTTAGTCCTCAACATTCCTCAAAAGAAAGTAAGAAATAAAGTCATACAGGTTTGACAGAATAATCATTTTGGGGTGTACTATCCCTTGACGTTTATGAAGGATCAGGTGTAGGTCATAAATCGGAGCCTCTGATTGGCCGCCACTGGTGTTGACATCATCGCACATTTTGTGTTTAACTGTGGTAAGCCTCATGTTCTTACTGTCTGCAGGAGATCGACGGTAAAGCTCTGATGTTACTGAGGAGCGACATGGTGATGAAGTACATGGGGCTGAAACTCGGACCGGCGCTCAAACTCTGCCACCACATCGAGAGACTCAAGCAGGGGAAGCAGTGAAACACACGGACAGAAACCTCTCCTCCACACCGACACGCTGCTACAGAGGGGGCTGATGGGAAATCACTGTGTGCTGCTCACGTCTCTACATTATCACACACACACGGCGTCTCTCCTAGACGTTCATCTGCAGCCAGAGCACACTTTGAGGAACATTAGTGCAGCTGGGAACAACGGTCGAACGAGGTGCGCTCGGTCGGTTCTTACCTCCTGCCATCTCGTCTCCCCAAAGATGCAGACGCTTTACGGGCCGATGATCCCACCCATAGAGGTGGTTTTTGAGTCGGAGGTTGGTTATGTATCGCTCTACCTCCCTGTGACGTCATACTAGTCCACAGGTGTTTCTGAAATCACTTACAGCCGCTGAAAATCTGCTTTTTAGTTGCGTTTCGTTCGTGTATTTCGTTGGCGTCACGAAACTTTCGGCCAGTCATCATCATTTACGGTCCAAAGCCGTACGACTTCATTTCCTCCGTCGAACACAAAAAGAGACGTTTTGAAGAATGTTCATGCTGCTCGTTTTCATGCAGTTCTGCTACATTGGCGAAATTATTTTTTAACCAAACAGACCCTGCTTGTTTTTGTATGGCTGGAGATGAAATTTGAGTGTTCACAAGTAAATCCTCAATGTTTATAATAAACTAAACTTCAATAATAATAAACCTAATGCAACTCATATTTGTCAGTCGTGCATAAATTAAAACAAGGTCAGATTTTTTTACACTCAAAATCATTGCATGGTTATATTTGACCATTTAAATAATTTCAAAATGCTTTTATTAAAATCACTTGGAATCAGCATAAATCTGTTAATTGTGAAAACAAGTGCATTTATTCCGTTTAAGAGTATAAACATGGTTAAATACGACAAAGCAAAATTCAATTAGTTAATGTATGTGGACTTATATAAAGGTAAATATATAATTTATAAATATAAATGTCAAATACATGAACCTGGTTATTGTGCATTTAAAACACATTCAGTTTATTAGTACTATTTCAGAAATCTGACCCGTTTCATTGATGTTTGACAGACAAATATGCATCACATTAAAGTCAAAACTGTGAAATATGCAATTTAAATACATAAATCTAAGCCTAAATGGTAATGAATTACTGTAGGTTTAATCCCTGAAAAAAACCCGCTTTGAGAAACACCATTGTCAGAGTTTTTATTCTGTCATATATCTCATATAGTTTCCCGTGTGCGTTTTTTTCCCTCTACGGCGATGTATGTATTTTGTAGTTTAGTCTGGAGTGTCGGGAGTATCGATGTTCCGGAGCGTTCGGAGGACATAATGCTTTTGAGATAACGCTGTTTGAGTTGGCTTCGTCTTTGTTGCAGAAACTGGTCGAGCTCTTATCTTGGGAATGTTTGGATTGACTTGTGTTGTGAAGTCAGGGTTAGACGTTAACCTGACATCTACAGCAGCCTCAGAACAGTATTCAAGAGACGGAAACGCAGCACGCCGTGGAGAAATGAACAAGCTTGCCACTCGAACTTGAAAGCCGTCAAAACTGGTTAATTTCAATTGAAGCATCATTAGAAATAGCACCAAAATAGTGGGAATTTGATGTGAACGCCGGCGTGTTTTCCGCCAGCTTCCGGCTTTATCTCGAAGTTTATGTTGATATTTTATAATTTTCATTGATAGATCAGACATCAATGGTGTATTATGGGTTTAACCATAAAACTCAGCAACAGGAATGTACAATTTTGTAGAGAAGAAATATTTTAAGCTAAACACGTTGTATATGGAGGTGGGAAGTGTGACGACACGTTACGGGGGGCTGTTTGTTTGGGATTTGTCGTTTAATATACCTTGTACTGCCTTCCAGCGCTTTTTACCGGGAAGAAACGTCCAATTCTGAATAGCTGTGTTCAAACTGCCTTGCTTTACTTTGAGACTTCTCAGGTGTTTTCCCATCTTTTGTAACGTAGCATTTCAAGTTAGTCGTGAATGTGATTGTTTAGACTTTTCAGTTCCTTTGTCGACTTTTGTAAAAAAAGAAATAAATAAAAAAAGTCACATGTATTCGTAAAGTTGTGCCATATAGATTCATCAAATGATTGAATATCAAAAACACACACACGCTTCGATCTTGATACCGGAGACGTTTTTAATCATGAAATTTTTAAAGCTAATGCATTCGTCACATACACATTTTCAACGATACAAATAATAAATAAATAATTTAAAACACCACCAGACTCTTCGTTTCATTCTTTTACTCATTCGGTTGTTTACAAAAGCTCTTCATGGTAAAAAAAAAAAAAACATTCAATACTTAAAATTTCAATACCTATAACAGAGTTAAAGGGTCGTCTGACACAAATTAATTCACATCATAAAAACAGTCATGGTTTATTCATCAGGTTTTCATGCCGATTGTTTTTTGTGTAGATCTGAGAATATACACATGCTGGAAAATGACTTACACTGCAAAATATGACTTTCTTTCTAACATTCTTAAATCAGGATGCATTTACTTTAATATATATAATTTTTCAGAAAATAAGACATGTTATTTTGCTTCTCAAATAAACATCTTGATTTAAGAATGTTTAGATATTTATTGGAAAACAAGAAAAAAAACGGAGGAATGATTTTTTTTTGCGAGGCTTTAAGAGTTAAAAACACTTTAGAACTGACATGAAAAAACAAGTAGAGTTGCACAGCAGTTCATCAAACGTATTTGGTGCTGACTGTAAACCTGATACTTGAGCGTACTGTGAAAACGGAGGAAATCTGTCAAGATAATATTTGGAGAAAGTTCGTTGAGTTCTACATGAAAACCTTTTCTGGCTGGATGTGAACTATAAAAGACGCCTTCCTGATTTTCCTTCTGCAGGAATTCCAATAAACAAACACACAAACACGAGACGGCGCATTTCATATACTGACATGTCAAATAAATCCTGCCTCGCTTGCATTTTTCTTTCTATGGACACTTCTGATGGTGTGTCTAGAATCTCATTTCGATTCTGCTGAAAGTGGCACGAAGGACGAGTCGATTCTCATCTTAGCCAATCCATCTTATTGGTAGCTGACTTCATGAAAACAAAATATTAAATGTTACACAAAACCAAATGAGACTGATTTTAGTTTGGCCGTGCCTCAAGGTCAAAACGTTGACTGTGGAGATGATCTTACGGTTGGGATGCTTGAAGTACGAAATGTAACGTGTTATATAGAATAAAATCTCTTTTACTGATTTTACACGTTTTTCAGAAAAGATATTTTGGTTAAATTTCACAAAACTTGTCAAGAACATGCCAGCAAGTCATATTGCACCCAAACATTTAAAAGAAATTAGATTTTGCTTAAAGAAAATTAAAAGTTTTTTTTTTTTTTGCATTGTGATATTTTCATCATAATTAAGCATTTTCCACCCAAATTCTCATTTTTGTGAATGCACAAAAAGTAACTATTTAAATTGTACGGGATTTATACATTGTGACAGTATTATAACTTCATATTAATGTTAATATGAACATTTTATATATTATATAACCCTCCAGACACATTACAATAAAGAGGGAAAATGTGTTTAGCAGTTGTCACGATGCAAAAAAGGTTGTAAAAACAGGAGATATGTCAGCTGTACCAGGGTTTTAATAAGTGTATTACTAAACTGGCTGGGATGATCAGAAGGTTAATGAGAGGGTGGAAACCTGCGTTTCGAAACACGCCCTCGTGCTATCAATCAAACCACCAGCCACATGAAAGCAACAAAGATTTAGTGCATTCATAAAGCAGCATTCATAATCCACATTCAAATTCTTAATGAAAGGTTTAAAGTTAAAAAAGAAAGTAGGGTGGCACTTGATTTTATCCATCAGAGGTGTATTTGATCATGAAAAGCGGGGAATGAAGCCAAACCTAAAGGGGAGTTTGCAGTGGATTGTAAAAATCACCAGCACACACTTATGAAGAGGCGTTTTGATTGGGACTAAAGGTCAAGTTCACCTTCAAGAGCATCTCCACATATTCAAATGGTAACACTTTCAATTCTATCATCATTTGCTATTATTGCCGTAGCCTCTTTTCCTGTAATGTCACTTGGCATTAAATTGTTGCATTATCTATTACAAGATTTTAGAAAGACTGCATTACCCACAACAGTAGCTTAAAACAGTGACCCAATAGCCTTAATATTAGCCAATTGCTTGTGCAACCTTGCTGACATCACCTACAAAGCTTTTTATTTTCATGAAAGATTACAAAAAACAGGGAATAACATACACTGATGGACTTCGCACAATATGTCCAGTAACATGTATAAAGAAAACCAGGTTCAACCGTGAAGGAAAAAAGATCTTAATGCTTGCTGAGGGATAGATGTTTGATTTTTAACTCTTTACGTCCATTGTCGGCAATTTTTCATCTAAAACACTGAAGGTGTATTAAGATCATCATTATAAAGATCATTAAAATCTGTACACTGTTGCAAGTGAAACTCTCCTTGTGTGTTCACACAGCTGGCTGACAATAATCTAAAAAATGACTCCGAGGCCATAAAAACAGCATTAATAAGCCATTTCACTCAGATTTGTTGTCGTTAGGGACGAACCCCTGATGATTATTTAGTTTTAATTTAGTTTGGGGTAGGTGGGTGGAGGGAGGCTTTTTGCCCCCCAAAGGGAGGATGATGAAAATTATGCTTTGTTGCCACTGACAACCATTTCCTCCAATCATCAGACTTAATGAAACCGAGGTCTGGGCTTTGCCAAGTCATTATCAGGCTGCCATGCTAACTGCTTACCCCTCCTGTTCTTCAAAGAGGATGCTCCGCTCCAATGCCCCACTGATTAATACAGTGATTAGGGAAGCAAAAGGTCACGGTTCCCTTCTACAGTTCATTAGGACCAAAAATGGGAAACGTCTTGCACTCCAAGTGTAAACAGCGAGAGGAGAGCAAGAATTCAGCAAAAGCATATTAGCGAGAGGAGAATCTGTCAGTGCTGCACGTTGTGTTTCTCACTGACAGCTGGCCAGGTTTCAAAACAGATCTCATGCATATTAATGACAATGCAGATTACGCGTGATAAATCATTCATGAGGATGTGTGACCAAAAATCTAAATGCATAGGAAGGGAGTCGATTCTGGCATTAATGCTGAAAATGCTAAAGGATATCAGTAGTAGCGCAGTTTAGCCAGTTCAGATTGATTCTTTTACTTGGAGCATTTTCCTGTTGACTTCGTCTGACTGCTTAATAATGAATGGATCAAATGCCAACCGTCAGACCAGAGGCACCCTGCATCAGTCTAAATCATTTGGACAGCTTGGAGAAAAAGCTTTAGGACTTATTTCTGCCAGGAATGCATTTAGCATCATCATACCCTGGTTATATATATTTCTCAGACCAATCACTGTAGTTATTTACCTAGCTACACCTCAGAAGCGGTTT